GAGATTCTCCACATTCTGTACCCTAAAGCATTATAATAAAAAATTATATTAATGTGTGTATCTATAAACATAGCTATAATTTTAGAATAAAGATTTCAAACTAATATTAAATAAAATTTTTACTTTTAATTTTTTTTGGTACTGCTTTATTTTGTTCCTGAGTATCATTATTTCTCTATGATGCTGTTCAGATCTTAATAAATACAAAACCAATTAACTTAATATGTATATAAAAAATGAATAAATAAATAAAATAAATGAAAATCTAAAAAAACACCTTTGTTCATAAACTTCAATTTTTCCATCAGTGGCTTTCTTCAGATCTATGGCACGACGTGTCTTGCGTTTCTCCTTCATAAATATTATTTCGTAATGATAAATAATTTTTTTTGTTTTACTATGTCTTTGCAATAAATATTTCATACAAAACTAACACAACAAAAACACATAATACCTCATCAATCTGAGCTTTAAGATCATTTATTTCTTTTTCCATGCCCAAGATCTGTTATTTAAAACAAAACAAAATCGCGTGTATAACTATTTATTAAAAAAAAACAAACATAAAAAGTCCAAAGAAAAATTTTATTAGGTTAACAAAAAAAACTCAAACGCTTAAGACAATAATAATAAGTTTAATGTATAATTTACTTTAACTCCAAGTTTTGACCTGGACTTTATTTCGGATTCCCATAATCCCTTGTGCTCTTCTGCTTCTTTTTCACACATAGAGCGAAATAAACTCTCGGAGTGAAGTTTTTCTTCAAGTGCTGCATTGTTACCTTTAGCATTTGAAAGCAGTACTTCAAGACGGTCACGAGCCTTAGTAATAAACAGTGAAATGGAATTAAAATTGTATGCATAATTAAAAAATCTTAAAATTTTTTATTATTAATCTTAAAAAAATAAAGATATTCATATTATAAAAAAAAAAAATTTCAACTATAATAACTTTTATATAGTAACTTGTTATTTCATCTATAATAACTTTTATATAGTAAATTGTTTCAGCATTATGTTACATGTTTGTTAAGTTACTATGTAACATAACGTTAAAGTCAAAATACAACTTATAATTGAAGTTTCTTTGAAACTCAATATTAATGAAAGTTGTTAAAACTATGAATAAGCTGAAATTAAAAATAAAACAGTCATTAATTAATTTAGTTTGGACTCTTTTATGAGAACAACTTATTACAAGATTTACAGAAATTAGATTAGCAGCTATTTTAAAAGCCTTTGCATACATGTTTTGATATTTAATAAGTATCAAGATAAGATCATAAATAACAATACTATATACACAGGGTGTAAACCCAGAAAAAAAATTTATACAGCTTTTATATGTAACAAATAAAAAAAGAATTTAGGTGTATCAAATAAAAAAATCAAAAAAAAATCATTGCATTCTGACATTGAAAGAAAAGTTTTTATGGCTCGCGCACATGGTTTCCTAAATAAATTTATACAAGCAAATTATGTTCCACACATGGGTTTTAAAGCATAGGAGGGGGGGGGGGGAAGAGGTACAATCGTCCCTATTGTATAAAAAGTCCTCTATATCTTGTAGTTTCCCTCCCCCCTTGAAGACAATCCCCATTTTAAGATTTTAATTCATTTATTTGTAACACCTAAAATGTGAGCCTGATATAGGTTTTTTTTTTTCTAATATGATCTTTTGAACCTTCGGGGATTTTAAACCAGCTGGGAAAAAATTCTGCGTTATACGCGGTGCCATCAGGCAAAGAGAAAGGTGATAGAGTGAAATGGTGCTAAACGAAAGCACATAAAAGAATAGTCTGTGGATTCAAACCTAGTTTCACAACAAATGGGTGAATCCTTATGAATGTAAATGCCCAGGCCAAGCATGTGACTATTGGAGTCTTTACGAACCAAAGGAAGATAACAATTAACACTAAGATCACAAGATTAAACAGCTGAACTCAAATTAGTCTCACAAAGAGCAAGTAGGTCTGGTAAACTTCGCAAGAGATAAGACTCAACAGAAGAAAAGTTACTTTGAGGACCACGAATATTAGTGAATGATAGGTTTAGAGAACTTGGTGATGATGATGGTTTTTTGTGTTTTATAGTTTTTGGTACTTTATTCATTTTTTAAATTTGTTAAAGAACTTGACTCAAAGCATATACAGTACTCAGTACATTGTTTAATAGCCCAAGCAATTGCCTCATCACCATTAATAAACCCTAAGTCTTAACAAAGGGCTCCAAATGTGGTCTTGACAACGCACACCAAAAGTGCAAACAGGGACACCATCCATGTGCAACATGACACTGTTAATACTTTGATATTTTTCAGCTGTTGATAGAATTAACCTCTCTGAGAGCTACCACAGAGTTTGGGAAATATGACTATCAGCCGGCTTCAGAACCATAAAACTGAGTTTTAGAGCTGTACCCTCATTAGGAAATAATAGAGCAAGTTGGGTAGTTATAAAAACAGAGACACAAGCAAAACCCATGCATTGAGTCAAAAAGATCCAGCATTCAACATCCTAAACTGGAAACAATGTATTAAAAATACATCTGCGCCAGCCTAATAGAGGAAGAAGGGGTGCAAGGCTGATCAATAGATAGAATCTGTTTACCCCTAAAGTCTTTGCCTAGGAGGCCTTGTACAAGACAGTAGCCGATGTATTTAACATCTACCCAAGATGAGTATTTTTATTGAGACACTATCTCTAGCCTTTACTCAACCAAGAGCCACAAGGTAAGAGGTATTTTAAGTATGAGTTTGCTTCTCCTAGCTTTTGCCTGAAAAAAGCGTATCCTCCAAGGCAACAGGACATAAAGTAGATTGTACTGGGTTACAGCAGCAGCATGGTTACAGCAGGGTTACAGCAGCAGGGTTACTGGGTTACAGCAGCAAGACGTGAGGCAGATTGTACTGGGTTATTTTTTTTTTCATTGTCTAGAAAACTGCCTAGATTAAACTAAGTGGATTAAAACTAAAAGAATATACATTTAGAAAAAAATGCTACAAATATGATAAGTCTTACTTCATTTGCTTCACGAAGATCTTGGAGTAAAACTTCTGCTTTTGCTTTCTCTTCTCTTAAGCGTGCTTCTATTGATATACTCTCATTTTTTAATTTGTTTATATTATTTTGCAGTTCAACCTATTAAAAGAAAAATGTTTGAAATTTTGTAACTTACAATAAACATTAAACTTAGTCAATACAGTATTTGACATTTGCCTATATTGACAATACAAAATTAATCACAATATTATATATCTCTAAAAACAATTAAGTCATAGTTTGTAGTTAATTATTTGAAGACATTATCTGTAGAATTTAATACACTATTTAGTCACAAACATTTTACAAAATAACTGTTGATCATTGTTAAAATACTAAATACTTACATTGGAATTAGTAATTTTATCTACATCCGAAGATTGCATTGAAAGTTTCAATGTTGTTTCATCAGTAATTAAAAGAGTTTTATCAAGAGTACGAGAAACTTCTTTCAATTTCTGATCCAACATACATCGCTGGTGTTCAATTTCATATTTCTGCATAAAAAAGATAAAAAATTATCTACATTTACTGGAAGCTTTAATGAAAAATTAAAGCTTATTGTATCACATAATCTTTTATTTTTGTTTTTAATTTTAAACGAATAATCTTATAGATTTCATCTTTATTTTCATCAGTTATTTTATGAGATTCTTGTGAAATTATCTCAAGAAAAAGAAAAAAAGATAAAATGAAGGTTGGTTTGTCTGAAATAAAACAAGAAAAGCTGTTATTTTATTTTCAACTTATAATGGAGACAATGAAAACTTAAAGAAGCCAAAAACATTTCAAAACTGAAAAACTATGCAAAAATAACCTTTTCTGATTTAAACTCACGGCAATGCATGTAAAATTATTAGTATTTTCCTTGTATATAACTATATTTTAAGTAAAACAGTAAAAAGTTAGAAATTCTGACAAATGTTTTTAAATTTGGATTAAAATTTATAAAGTTGTGAACACAAAAGAAAAAGTTGTGTTTGGAGAAAAGGGTGTAAATATAGAAAACAACTATTTGTAAGCACAGATAAAGAGTGTGTATGTGTGTTGGAGTAAATGTTCAGCGAATAAAATGTTGTGGATAACAGCTTCAGAAGCATTTTGTAACTTTTTAACATTAAATATAATAAATTACATGTATTTAACATAATTTACTTTAACTTATTTTTAAACACCTACCTCTTCACGCAATTTATTTATAGTTTTTTCAAGTTCTATGTTTTTGTTAACATACTCATCTTTTTCCTACCAAATAAAAAAACTTTGTCATTGCAATAATACATAGCAATGATACAATAAAAACAAATAATGGAGGTATTGTAATTACTTTGAATCTTCAATTATAAAAAAATTATAAAAAAAGCAATTAACAGAGTATTAAAACTTAAACAATTCCAATTTTACTGTCAAGTGAAATCAAATTCTTAAATGCGTCAAAAACAGTCAAATTTAAATGATCATTTCTTTCTATTAAACTATTTATAAATATGATTTTTATTTTTCTCTAAAAGTTAAAAAAAAACAACTGACAAAAATGCACAACTATTGGCTACATCAATAGCCCTTATTAGTGTATATATATATATATATATATATATATATATATATATATATATATATATATATATATATATATATATATATATATGTATATATATATATATATATATATGTATATATATATATATATATATATATATATATATATATATATATATATATATATATATATATATATAATAATAATAATAATAATAATATAAGTTAAGCTGTTACAATTGTTTTATCAATTGTGGAACACAATAACAGGAGAGATTGTGTTGTGACAGTTATATTGTTACTTAATTCAAGCATATAATTCATTTAGATTAATGTTTTTAAAATTTTTTTTCTTAAGATAAATTCATTGCAATAGTTTGTTGCCTCTAGCCTATTCTTAAACTGATTAGTTTAGTCAGCTTCAATACCCGAATGAGGTAAACCATTCCAAGCCTCAAGGATACAATTTGTATAAAAATTAAAACGAATTTTACTTTTACAATAGGTTTTTATGAGTTTGAGGCTGTGACCGCGCATAACATAATATATATATATATATATATATATATATATATATATATATATATATATATATATATATATATATATATATACTTTATTTCAAGCAATAATAATTTGAAATAATAATTAAAATCAATAATAATAATTAAAATCAAGCAATTTGATAAAGACAAATATCCAACTAAAGTTGTTATACCAAAAAAATGTCAATTATAAACTTAAATGTTAAGTGTAAAAGTTATAGTCAGATAGTTAAAATATAAAAACATTAAACCTAAAAATTGTTAAAACATTTTAGGTTAATATGCACTTATTTTTAAAGCAAATATGCAATCTTTATGTCAAAATATACATTTTTACTGATTAAATTATAAAAATACTGATTAATGATAAAGATACTGATTAATGTATATAAATGTACATTTTCACTGAATTGGAGATTTAACTTTTTTTTATCTAACAGTTAAACAAAAATTGGTAATAAACTCAATCCATTAAAATCAAGACATTTAAGAGCTTTTAAATGTTTTAAAAATATAGACAAGAAAATTACAGAAAAAATAATTTGAATAAATTGCATATATTAGATTTTCTAAATTCAGATTTGTTTTGTATACTTTTGTTAAAATTTAAGCACAAGTGAATATGGAATAGTTAAAATTGAAGTATTAAATGTAATACCTTGTTTAAGACTTGTATTCTTGACTCTACATTTAACAAATTTAACTTAATGGATTCTGTTTCCTAAATAAAAAAATTGTTTTTTTTAATTGCTATTTGACAAAAAATGTATCCAAGGATAGAGACTTTTACTTTTTAGTGGAGACACTATGTAAAATGCCAAAGCATAAATTGGTAGAGTACCACTAAATAAGCAACAGTCATCAAAACAAAACTGGTTACCCAGAACAAAAGACTACAACACAAATCTTTTCTATTCAACTATACCTAAATCATTTGCACCTTATATACAATAATTGCCTAGCTTCTGTAAATGCTAATACTTCTTCAAAAGAAAGTCTTTGATTTTAAGTTAGGTTAGAATTTTTTTACAAAACAATAGTCTAAGATTAAACCTATTTAAACTTTATAAGTTTTTGTAATTGAATCATCTTTAAACTTTAAACCCCCTCTAATACAAGGCTATAAAGTTTGATTCAAAAACAAAAAAACAAAAACAAAAAATACAAAAGATACAGTTATACTTCAGTAAAAAGTTTATAATAATTATATTTAAAAACTTTACCATAGTATTATTTGAATATTGACGATAAATAATACTTACACTTAAAAGTTTTTGGTACTTTGAATTTTTCTCCTTAATCTTCAAATCACTTTCTTGAAGTTTCGTTTCAAATGCTTCTAATCGCAGCATATTTTGCTGGTTTATTAATAAAAGTTCTGATTTCTCCTATAATATATATTTTAAAGTTATGTTTCAAATTTAATTCAAATTTAATAAATTAATGAATATAAGGCTAAATAAATTTATTATATCATTATATAGGTAACTTTAAGTTTAAAATTAAACCTTCAAAAAGTCATTTTGAATTAAGATCATATTAGAATTCATACTATCCTAAAAAAATAATACCAACTTGAAACACTAAATGTCATTTCAGATATGAGATAAAACAGAAACAAAATAAATTATAATAAGTAAAGAAAACAACAACAAAAAAAAAAATCAAAAAAAATTTAATAAGTACAAATTTAAAATTTTCAATATATATGTTTGCAACATTTTTGTTTATTACTATTTTTATTAAATTAAATTTAGTTTAATTTAATAAAATTACATCCCGCTTTTATTGATGTTTACAAAAAAAAGTTAACATTATTTTATATCAAACAACTTATGTCTAATTTTTTTTTTTTATTTGTTTATAATAAAGCATATTTTCAAACTTAATTACAAACCTGTTTTACATTAGTAGCACGATCTTTTTCAATAAGCTGTTCTTTAGTAACATCAAGTTCTTTTTTAACGTAATAAAGCTCATTCTGAGTAGTTTTATTCCTAAAAAGATATTTTTTGATGATACACTAGTTTTGTTACAAAGAAACTTTGTTACAATATTTTAAAAGAAACTTTGTTACAGTATTTTACTAAGGAATTTTGTTAAAATATTTTACTAAAGAATTTTGTTATAATATTTTACTAAGAAATTTTGTTAAAATATTTGACTAAAGACTTTCATTATAATATTTTACAATGGAATTTTGTTAAAATATTTAACTAAGGAATATTTTTACAATATTTTACTTAGAAATTTTGTTACAATATTTTACAATGAAATTTGAAGTGAATTTGAAGGTGAAGCAATTTGCAAAAAATTCATTTCTTCAATTCATTCAATTAATCAAAAATTATATATTGTAGAGAACTTTAAAAGAGTAATAAATGATAAGAAAAACAACAAAACACTTATTATATTGAAAAATTTTTTTAAAAATACTTTTCCTCTTCCAATTCAAGTTTGGCTGTTAACTTGGAATTTAATTCCTAAAAAGTAATAGTAGGGTAATGTACAAAACGTTAGGTTTTTGAAATGTAGCATTAAAATAAGTAGCTTTTAAAATAAGATATGTGATATTGACTTAAGTAAAATAAATTTAATCTTGTATCCTTTTACCTGGTTATTTTTTATTTTATTTTCTAACAGCAGAACTGCCTCCCTTAAAGTCTGCACTTCATTACTATTGTGCATGAACTCTTCTCGCTTTCCTGACAATGCCAATTCAATTGATTGCAGCTAGCTCAAGAAACAAAATTTGTTATACACTGGTTAGAGCTATTTTAAAATTACTTTAAAATGCAAAGAAAGCAACTTTAAATTTTAAAAACATTTTAAAAGTTAAAACAATTATATATATTAACTTGAATAAATGATTTAAACAATAAAACAGTAACTTTTTTGCTTGAAAGCTTAATTCCAATGATCAAATATTTTCAGAAATGTTAAATAAATGGTTTAATATGACAAAATATTTGACGAATCTAGAATATACCTGATCAGTTAGTGAGTTTGCAGAAAGTTCAGATGATTCCAAGCGTTTTAGTGCACTCTAATAAATTAATAAAATTACATAAATAAAATTGAAAGCATACTATTTTATTCTTTGATAAAAAGTTTAAATAAAAAACACCTTTAACTGATCTTTTGTAAAAGTGAGATCCTTTTCTAGACTTAACTTCTCATAATGTCCCTTTTCTCTCTCTATTATTGCTTGTTTTTCTATAGCTAATTTATCAGCAGATAGTTTATCAAACTCTTTATCAGACTGTTTTAATCGATTTTGAAGACTGTGAACCTGAAAAATGGGATAAAATTCTTTTTGTTTAAATTTAAAACTATTATTAAACAGAAATGTAACCAAAATAGATTTAATATACCTCTTCATTGAGCCTATGCAATTGATTTTCTTCCTTTTCCAATTGCATTTGTAACTTTGCCATTTCAATTTTGAAGTTTGACTTTTCATTCTCCAAATGAAGTTGTGTCTGAATCAACTCCTTTTCAACTAAAACCTTTTAAACATTTCCCAAAAAAAATTATTGAAATGAATAAAAAATACAATTTAGATTAAAGAAATAAGAAAAGTGAAAATACTTTAAGCAAAATAAAAAATTTGAAAAAATTTAGAAATAACTGACTAATTTATCAGACTTTGAATCACAGCTCTTTTGTAAAAAGCTTAACTCTGTTTCTAGTCGATGTTTAAGTTCTTCGTATTTAGAATTTGCACTGGAGAGTTCAACCTAGAAAGATTATTTTTTATAAGTATAAAAAAGACAAAAAAGTTGTAATTAATTGTAAATAATTTTGAGTAAACAGGTTTTAAAGCCTGCAAATTATCTATTTATCATTTTGTGTTTTGATTTTTGCATTAAACTTTGTATTAAGTTGAATCTTAATTACATTAGTCTTGGCTAGTTCAATTTTTAAAAAGTCTGCCGAGCTCTCAACTTGTTTTTTTGTTTCATCCAGCATATGAATTTTGGAAATGGCTTGTGCATGATCTAAAGAAGATTTTCTTGCTTCAGTCAATATAAGCTCATGTTGGTGTAGTTGATCTTTGTATAACTCCTCCTGTTAAATCAATTCACTGTATTTAAATGGTAATTAAAACATCAAAAATTTAAACATAATTAAAAATTGTAAAAACCTAGAACATGAAAATATATTGCATTACCTGAAAAGATCTGGCCTTTTTTTCAGCATCAAGAAGAACTTTGAGTTCTTCTTTTTCAGATTCCAATTTTAAAATTCGATTTTGAAGTATTTTCAAATCAGATAAAGTCTGTTGACTAACCTGCTCCAGTGATAGTCTTTCTTCAACCTCTCTAATAGTCAAAAAGATCAAAACTCGGATTAAAATAATATTTTGCATTTTAAAATATACAGTAATTATCATTTCATATTTTAAAATTCAAAGTAACTATCATTTCATATTTTAAAATTCAAAGTAATTATCATTTCATATTTTAAAATTCAAAGTAACTATTATTTCATATTTTAAAATCTTAAGTAATTATTATTTCATATTTTAAAATCTATAGTAATTGTCATTTCAAATTTTAAAATCAAAAGTAATTATCATATCATATTTTAGAATCTAAAGTAACTATTATTAAATTAAGTAACTAGGAATAATTTTAAAATCGAAAGTAATTATCATTTTATAATTTAAAAAACTTTTCAAAAAAAAAAAAAAAAAAAACCTTATTTATTTTAAAATCACAGTTGTATTAAATTTATCAACCAAGCATAAGATTTTAAGCACCAATTTATTTCAGAAAAAGTTTTCTTTTTTTTAAATCTGTAAATGGTTGGTTAATAACCAAATAAATGAATTAACTTAATAAAAATGTCTTACTTTGTAGCTTTTTGATTTGATTTGTTTATCTGATCTTTAAGCTGTTGACAAATTTTTTCAGCTACCATTCTTGCTTCTGCTTCTTGATCAAGTTTGTACTTTACACTGCGCAATTGTAAATCTAAATCCAATAGACTTTTTTCCTTGTCTGAATTTTCATGAGTTAACAGCTCTATAGTTCTAAAAAATAAACATTTTATAAAAATTTACTAAAAAAAAAGTTTTAAGAAGAAAAATGTTCTTTAAGTATGCATAGCAACAAAAAACACTTCATAAAATTCATAGCAACAAAAAATATTTAAATAAAAGGATTTTTTAGTAAGAATTTTTATAACAAGAAAATTTTTATAACCAATTATTTTAAATAATGAAAGACCTGTGCATTTCTGTAATATCACATTCCATCTCTTTACTTAAGTGATCCTGAACAATAGCTTTCTCCATTAACAAATTTAACTTGTTTCGAGTGAGATCTAACTCTTTCTGCAAACTTCTGTTCTGTGTTTCATCTTTATCTTCAAAACAAATAAGACATTTACCAAAACTTGTTGTAATTGAATCATAAAAAGCTTCTTTTAAAGAAATAAAAGAAAAAAAAAAGTACATTTATCTTTTTTAGGAGTTGAAGTGCTCTTAAGGTGGTCAAGAGTGTTTCCTTCACCATGATGCTTCTAAACATATAATACACTTTTATGATTAAATGCATTTAACTGGAAAAAAAGTTCAATAATAATAATAAAAAAAAAATTCTAATATAAAATAATTAAAAAAAAATCTATAATAATAATTAAAAAAATCCAATTAAAAATGATAATAAAAAAAAAAAAAAAAATTCTATTAAAAAAAAGACTAACATGCCTTCAATAAAACAAAGGATAGGGAGTGGATGAAGGCACAAGGTTACTAAGGCCTTGTGAATGTTTTATTACCTTATTTAAAGACAAATTAGATAAAAATTTAAGGGCTCTACTTGATACTCTTTTTTGGTTAGACACTATGTTTCTCAGAACTAACAAAACAGGTTTTTAAAGTTATGGAGGAGGGGAAGGAAAGAGATAGAAGGGGGTTAGGGGAGGAGGGGGAGGGAGCTGGTGGGTTTGGGGTTGGGTGGGGAGGGAGTGGGTGGGTGGTAAAGCACAATCATTAATTTCTAAAAAAAAGGTTCTCTTTATCGAAATTTTTTGAACAACAACAACAAAAAAGGTCCTTTAGAAAAAAGTGGAGTGAGTCTAAGCGGAAAGGGGGGGGGGCGCTTCGTCGGCCGTGTTTCTTGTAATTAAATTAACGTCATTCGCCGAATTAGCAGAATATACCAATGAAATATAAAAATATACAAATAATAATAATAAAAACGCAATTTTATGAAATATTAATCTAAAAAACCGCGTGTGTGAAGAAAAAGAAAAGTGAAGCCTAAAATATATCATTATTGAACATTCCATTTTTTTGAATCGATACTTACTAAATTTTGAATCATTGCGCTTTTACTAGACATATCCATATCAATAACAAGAAAATCATCCGTTTCCACATGTCTAAAAAAAAAAAATAAACCATTTAATTTAATTACAAGTATTAGCCATTTATTTAAAATATTAATAATAAATTCTTTCAAACACATGTGCTTCCGTGGCGCAATTGGTTAGCGCGTTCGGCTGTTAACCGAAAGGTTGGTGGTTCAAGCCCACCCGGGAGCGTGCTAATTTTTCGTTTTAATATTTAGTACCGAACTATTTGATAATTTTATTATTTAGTCGCGCATAACATTAAATTTTATTATTGAAAGTCGTGCATAAACATATTATACCAAATGTGTACTTAATAATTGGTTTAATATTAAAAAAAATTGGCTTGCCTGTTTATTTCAATTGAAGTCATAGCCAGAACTTTCTTTCTTGCAAGGTCTCTATGGATTTTCGATGTGGCAAGACAATCTTCTAGCTCCTTTGATCTTAAAAGATAAAGTAAATCGTAATTTAAATTACATTAGAACTCCAGTGAGAGAAAGAAAAAATTATTTCCAAACCTTCCAACAAATTCGTTGAAATTACTTTCATTAGTATGCATATCTGGAAAATCAACAGTCACTTCATTAACTTTACCGCGCCCAGTTTCTATAAGAGATAACAGATTTTTAGAATTGCAAGATAAAATTCTTTTTTTGCGACAATTAAATTAAATAGTTTAGCAAAGTGAAGAAAATAGTAAACAGCATTAAAAAAAAATTACTTATCTAGTAAGACCGTATTAAATCAATAAAATAATATGAAGTGAAGCAATTTGAATTTAACGTTTTTCATGAAAAGAATTACGAAAAAGAATAATATGTTTTGAATTATTTTTTAAAAAAAAGAGTCGTCCATAAATTACGTCACGTAATTATCAACCGTTTTTGACCTCCCTCCTCTCCCTTCGTCACAAAATAGTAACACTTAAGTAGCAAATTTTGAACGAATCGCCACAAAACCATTAACCCCTTCCCGCTTTATACCATGATGTAATTTATGGACGACCCCTTTAACAGTAATTTAAAATAGCAACGCGAGTAATTTAACGATGGAAGTATCCACCTGACAAAACAATGGATTCAAATACAATAGAACGCAGTATAATGTTTCAGTGTTAGTTGACAAAATAATATAAAAAGATTATTTTTCTTTAATACAGATATAGCAATTGAAATGAATAGAAGCATCGAAGACCTTTAAAGGTTTCAAATTAGAGTTGGTTAAATTTTAACTTACATCAACGGCAAAAAGTTTTGATTTTTCACGCAATTTTCGCGTACACATTAAATGAATAAAATATACTGCTGATTATTTAACAGATGTATAATACTAATCGGTACTTAGAATAACGGCTTCACCGCCAAGTTTTTTAAAGTAATTTAAAAGTTTAATAATGATGTTTTTAACTAACAAATGATAATGATGTTTTTAACTAACAAATATGGTTTTCAAACATCAATATTGACGACTTAATCTAACACGATAACTCTCGTTAAAATACAAGATAACTCTTGCTAAAACAAATTGTAATTAACATCATTTTTTTGTCAAAATGACTATTCCGATAAGAGATTTTAATTCACCCAACTTTACAAAACTTAGGTCTTTTATTTTAATTCTTCCCAAGGTCAGTAGGGAAGGTAGCCGTCTGTTATTTCAAACGTTCACAATTTCAAGAGTTTAATACAATATTCACAGCTTTAAGTTATTTCGAACATTTGCTATTTATAAAAATCATTTCCAACGAGGTAAAAGTTATTTTTCTAATAAGAATGCAAAAACTACTATTTTTTTTGTGCGCGAGACAATATAGTATACAAAACATGCAATTAAAGTCATGTGACCATTTTTTTTAATAAACTGAAACAACAAATGTTGACCAAACTTAAACAAAAGTTACGTCAACCTAAATTTTTATTAACCAAAACTGATACGTCTTTTACGATGTGTTTTATACTCTTTAAATACGTTTATTATACGTCTTTAGTCACAGCTTGTAATAAGCTTTTCGCATTAGTTTTAACCATAATATGTTGTGAAGTATAAAAGACTGTAAGCAAAAATTTAAAACCTTCTTTGTAATTTAATTTTGTAATAAAAATTATTATACACATTATAAAGATAAATTATTATTCTCGATAATAACATTTAATTTTTACTGACCTCTTTTATCTTCATCCTGTTCTCGACCCAAAACCACTTTTTTATGCAGCGATTCCTCTTTTTTCTTGTACTCTTCTTCTAACACTTGTAATCTTCAAAACAAAAAATTTCAATTTACGATTTTTATAAAAGAATATATATCATCAAAGGTTTTTTGTTTTTGTCAAAGTAAAAAAAGTAGTAACATTAGGACCGACTAAAAATTTAATTTTATAAAAAATTTAATTAAACGATAAGATTATGACACAAACAGTAAAAATGGCGCATGTTCGATATAATATATCCGTCAATTCTTTAAAACAAACAATTTTAATCGAAGACAATGTAATGCTAAGTTTAACGTATCTTTTTAGAGAAAAAAAAAAAAAAGACGACGTCATTTACAAAAAAATAAAATTATAAACAATAAAATCCATTATAATTTTCTGAATAAAGGTCTTACATTCAAGGATATTTACAAATAGTAAAATAAATCATATTAAGTAAACACCTGTAATGCTTATAATATATATATATATATTGAAAATAAAAATAGTACAAACATATAATAATAATAGCAATGACAAAACTAACAGTATATAAAAATACCAACATTAATAAATATAATGATATTAATAATAATAACAATAGTATAAATGTTTTTAACAATTATATTTAATAATAATAATAATAATGACAATAATAATAATAGTAAGTGATAAGTAAATAATAAATAAAATGGGAAATAAATATAAAAAGTAAATAATAATAATAATAATAACTAGAAGTGGTTTTGTTTACAACTTACTGAGTGGACAAATAAATCTAACAAACTTTTCCTAAATTTGAGGAGCTTACTGAAGAATTATTGCCATTCATAAAGGCAAGAGGGCAATTTGACAGGCTAACACATGGTATGACGATCAATTGTTTTTTTTGGACGGTCAAAAGTTTAATTTTTTTCTTTGTTCAAACTTTTATCTTAGTAACAGTATTAATATATATACTAAAATAACGACTAATGCTTGACATTTAACGAATTTGTATTCCTTTTAAAACAATAATTTTATATAAAGTCAAGGCATTCTTAAACGGAAACCCAAATAACTAACATTCAAATAACCAGCTTATGTTAATAGTTTAAAATAACTCTTGCGCGCACATATTTCCATTCAATTAAAAAAGGAAATTTGATACCCTCCAAATAAATTAATTTTGACTTTTTTTATTTTAATATCAAAGCAATTTTTATAAAATATTAAAAAATTTAAAGCCGGTCAAATACTTGATACTAAAAAAAAATCGTTTTGTGAAATGTTACTAATAACAGTTCGTGACGTTTAAATAATAGGGTTCTATCTCCATTTTTAAACATTGTGAGAGTTTAACTTTCGATTTTTAATTATTAAAATGTTTTTCAGTTGTTGTTGTTTACATTAATAAAATAAATGTTTTTTTATGTTATTTATGTTTTATAATTAATCTTACATTTTCAATTTCATAATTTTTAAAATTGCTTGATCACAAATTAATTGTTAATTTCAACTTTATAAAATAAGGTTGAAATTGACAATGAAAAAACAGAAACTAACAATTTTTAAAGTTATATAAATAATAATAAAAAGATTATTATATTAGAATTATACCATTTTATACCATAGAATTAAAAATAATATTAGAATTATACCATAATAAAAATAATATAATTAAAAACAAAAAATTAAATTTTTTTGCCATGAAAATTTGGAGAACCTTATTATTCTCATCTACCGATATGCTATTTTGATCATACCAATTTTTATTACTTAATAAATAATGTGTATTCTTAGCAATAAATTCAACAAATTTGATATATTGATCTTTAAATTTAACGAATTTAACAAAATTTTACTTTTAATTTTAAAACTTGAAGAGAGTATAAAAATTTTTGTTAAATTCTCTTAACAGTAAAAAAGGAGATAGAACCCTATTATTCTAACGTCACGAGTCGTAAAATGCGACTGTAACAGTTATTTATTTTACATAATGCATAATTACAATACATAATTATGCATTACAATGCATAATTACAATACATAATTAATTTACATGAGTTTTTATTAAAAATATATTTTTAAATCGTCTGATTTTTTCGTCTGATTCTTTCATTAGTAGAAGAAAAAATCTGTAAAGGCGCATTGATAATTTTTAATTTATTTAAAAATAATTTGTTCATTGCAATGATTTTGCAATTGGTGTGAAAAGTTACGAGAAAATTAAATAAAAAGATTGATTTAAAAAAATCGTTTTATGAACCTACTATAAAAATTACTATAAAATGAAAAAATTCATCTATAATTTATTAATTTATTGCAATTTGCGAAAATAAATTACGTGAAAATAAATACAAAGATTTAAAGAAAAGAAAGTGAGAAACATTATTATATTAAAATGATGTGTTGAATATTTTTACTAAAATAATAATAAAATAAGAACTTTTAAGCATTTATGAAAAAAAGATTTTTATCACCAGTAAAATGAACATAATATAAATTAGTGAAGCAAAAAAAACAACTAATAAACTACGTCATATTTAATACTCGTCAACTAAGCCAATTAAAGTAGCATATCGAAAACGATGAAACTATTTTAAACTATTTTTAAAACATAAATGATTTTATAAAATATGAGTAAAATGGATTTTTCAAATTACATCCTGATTATTTGTCAAATCTTTTTTTTAACAACTCTGACTTTTTTTCAATCATGACTGACAATTTATTCTGAAAGGTCAAAATAAATTGTAGTCATTTCTGACTATTTTTTCAGCTATTTTCAACGCTGTGTGTGTGTGTGTTTGTGTGTATATATATATATATATATATATATATATATATATATATATATATATATATATATATATATATATATATATATATATATATATATATATATATAATGTATATATTTATATATCATATCTATAAAATCATAAATATAAAAACTATAGATTTAATATAATTTATTTGATAAATATTTATTTTTATTGCATACTAAACGTTAAATGTGATAATTTAAAGTACCTTTTTTCCCATGTTTCTTTAGCAGATGATTCCATTATTGCCAACTCTTGCTTTTTATTAAGTTCCATTATTTTTAGAGACTTGCTTAACTCTGTTTCTCTTTTCTCAGCCTCTAGATCAAAATTTTCTTTTCGTTGAATTTCTTTAAATTCTAAACTTTTTTCCTTTTCAACAAATTTTAGCTCCATTTCTGCAATTTTTTCATTAAGCTGACTTTCATGTTTTTTTTTTTGTTCTGTTGCCTCAATTGACAACGATTTTAACTTCTTTTCATGTTCTGCATACAACTCCTCCTCTAAAACTTTCATATCTGCAAACAACTTTTTTCTTAAGTTAATCTCTTCACTTTCAATTCTTGCATGTAAATTCTGTCGTAGAACTTCTTCTTCTTGAACCAAACTCTCTTTTAGAGTTTTTTCCTTTTCTTTTAATGTTTCTAAGCTATATTCGAGTGTTTCAAAATGGGTTTTCATTGTTTCAATATTAGAATATGTGTTCTTTTCTTCTAATTTTTCATTAGAATTTCTTTGATATTCTGTTTGAATTTGATTTATTCTCTCTTGAAGTTCTTCTTCTTTTTGATTAATCAGATTTTCTATATCTTTTGCTCTTTTATTTTCCATCTCAATTTTGATTTTTTTCTCACTTTCAATACTGGCCAATAACTTTAACTCCATTTCATTTCTTGAATCAACCAAATTTTGTATTTCTTTTCGGAGCCTCTCTATAAGTTCCTGGCTTGTTTGTTCAGCTTTTGTCATTGATTGTATCAATTCTTCTTTAAATGAAATTTCTTTTTTTAAGCTAACCTCCAATTCAACCAATTGCTGTTTTAATAATTCTTTAGCTTGTACTTCAGAATCTAACAAAAGATTTGTTTCAACTAGCCTATTTTCTTTTTCAAATAATTGAGCTTTTAAAACTTGTTCTTCTTTGACCAGCATTTCTTTCTGAGTCTCAAACTCTTTTTCCTTTAAATGAAAGCTTTCAGTTTTCATTGTAAGTTCTTTCTGAAGTAATTGGACTCTGTCCATTTCTTTTTCAATTAATTTTTCTTTTTCAGCAATTAGCAGTATTCTTTTGTCATCATTGTTTTGTTCTATCTCATTTGTATCATGAATTTTTCCAATAGAAACAGCAGCTAATTGAGAAATTTCGATTATTCTTTCACTAAAGTTTTCCGAAATTTTATCTTCAACTGCATTTTCTTCCTTTTTGTACTTACTATTTTTTTTATGAATCTCAACTTCATCTTTTTTTTCTATTTCTGTATTTTCTAAATTTTGACATATTTTAGCAAACTTTACTGACTTGCATTCAACATTGTTCAAGACAGGTTGACAAAGTTTTCCTTGAGGAACAAAACTGTTATCCACATTATGAACTATGTCTGAATGGCTGCTTATCTTTGACTCCATTAAATTTAGACTAACTGCATTGTCATCAAACATTGGCAATGAACATGTGGGTTCTTTAACACTGGCGGAAATTTCTTCACTAAACTTGGAATTGCTGTTTTCCTCACTTAAACTAAAATCATCAAAACTTTCAGAACTATTTTCTTTTATTTCTTGATCAGCTTCATCAACTACTTCTCCATCACTTCTACTTAAAGAATGAGTAGATTCTGAATTTTGAATACTAACAACAATTTTATCTTCTATATTTTTTTCATTTTGACTTTTATACAATAAATTAGGTTGTTTATTTTTACTTTTGTCTATTTGTTGGCCTCCATCACTTCCATCTCCATCATCATATAGCACAGTGGATTCACTAGAGCTATCAAAAACAATATGTGCTATTTCCTTTTTTACCTGATCTCCTGGTATTAACTCTAAATTATCTTTCCTATTATTATTTTTAATTTTGCCTTGATCAGCTGAATCTAACGGTAGCAGCACTTCAGTTGCAACAAATGAATTTGGAGTAGGAAGGATAGTTTCATCATTTTTCTTTAAAACGTTATCTAGAACATTACAACTATTACAATTATACCACATATTGTTATGATTATTACGATTATACCATAAATTATTATGGTTGTTATGGTTACATGAATTTTTATAAAGCTTATCCAAAATTTATCCAAAATTTTTTATTTATTCATTAAATGACTAAGTTTAAAAAAAATACATAACATACTGCTAGTCTGATTTATCTTTGTTAATGCTTTTCTCTTTCGCTGCTCAATTTCCCATTCTGATTCAGATTCTTCTTCTTCTGTGCTCGTCAAAATTCCTAGAGCAATCAAGTTCTTTTTTCGATCATCTTTACTTTTACTTTCTGTATTATTTTCTAAAGCTAAAAATTGTAAACGTTTTTAAAAATTAACATTTAGGAGAAACTCTTTGTCTAGTATAGAAAAGTAGTAGAGAAATTCTTTGTCTAGATAAGTATTATACTTAACTATTTTTAGTTTGTATTTATTCTTTCTCTCTCTTTTTTTTCTATTTATGGGGTAAATTAACAACAAATATTTTTTCTACATAGGATAAAAATCTTTAGTAACAATAAAAAAATTACCTAAAATTTTTTCAATTACTAAATTAAATATTTATCTAGCAGAACACTAGTTTTCGAAGTTTACTTTTTATTAGAGTAGAAATAATTAAGTCATTAGTAATTTACTTAACAACAGAATTTACTCAACAAAATGATAGTATGCAAAAAAACTGAATCTTTAGGCCAATTTCTATAGTGAGAAGTTTCAAAATGTCAGAAAAACTACTGAAATTGTTTAAAAAAGATGCATTTATTTAAACTTCTATATTATATATACTTCTAATAATGTATTTGTGTTTTCCCTCTTCAGCATCTTATTTATTTTTGACCAGTACAATAAAAACTATAACTAAATAAATAAATCAAACTAAACTATATAACTATGTAAATAAGTTAATAAATAAATCAAACTAAACTATATAACTATGGTACTAGTATTAAATTTAATAAACTAAAAGTGAAATACATTTATCAGTTGGTCAAATATTAACATTTTTGCCCTAAATAAATCAAATAACTTTTAACTTTAAGTTATCAGTAGACAGAACATGTACTGTGCATTTATTAATTAAAACTTTTATAACAAAAATACTTTTATTATCAGATGTAAATATAACAAATACCTTTAACAGTTTGTGAATCTTCTTTTGGGCGTAATATTCTTGGAGTTATTTTTGGCTTTGTGGGAGATAGAAGTGCTTCTAATTCATTGTCTTGGTGATAATCATTTGTCTCTGGTGAAGTTTCTTCAGTCAGCTATGAAAACAAATGGCTTAAATTTAAATACAACTTATTTAAAT